AGTATCAACTTCAATTGACCAAGGTTAGCATGTTTTAGCTTGTTTTTAAACTTGAAATTATTTTGAAGGAATAACAAAATAATTATTGAATTCGGCTTTCGTAGGATATTGAATAATATTATTGCTAATCATTACAGTCAAACCTCCAAGTAATTTCTATTTCAGTGATTATGTTTGCACCTTACTGTTACAAACAATAGTTGTTGAGTGTGATTATGTACTTACTAGAACAAGTTCAAACACTCTCAATGCTGTACTTTAATAAATCAGGGCCTGCGCAGGGGGAGGGGCTGGGGGGCCAGCCCCCCCTTTTGAAAAATAAATGAAATTAAGTGCAGTGCAATCTTGATATAAACGAAGGGCAAAGGGACTGGCAAAATATCTTCGTCATTATCGAGGCTCTCCGTTCGTCAGCGTATTGCTTTTAAGATCTTATTGTACACCTTTAAGGCACTCCATTGGCCGACTCCAAAGTACCTGACTGAGTCCATCAGTCCTCATGTTCCTAGGCGAGCTCTTAGGTCTGCTGACCAACTTCTACCGGAGCAGCCAACGCACAAGCTCAAATTGATTGGCTCGAGGGCTTTCTCAGTGTGCCCGCCTGACCTCTGGAACTCGCTTCCATTTGAGATTAAAAGCAGCGCATCTTTTTCAATAAACGTATTTTTAGACTTTCAATTTTTTTTATTTTTTTTTGGATTTTTAGGACTTTTAGACTTTTGCTTTTTTCGATTCTTAGGATTTTTTACATTTTTAGTGTATAGATTTTAATATATTTGACACTGTAAAGCGCATTTGGGCGTTAGGAAAATGCGCTATGGAAATAAATTATTTATTACTTACTTATTTATTTATATCAAGGTTTTTTTTTTCATATTGCCTTATATTTTACTATTACTGGAGTTAAAAAAAGTTCGTTAGACACTGCACTTTTCGTTATATAGAGGTTCCACTGTCATATACATTATATAACTAATATCTTTGTCAGAAGAAGAATCTTCCAGCATCTAAATTCATCATTGGTCCATTTCGATCCTAGATCTGATGCGTAGTAAGATTCAAAACACCTGTCTTTACAAAAATGCACTTAGTCCTAGACTTCCAGTAAGGCTCTAGAATATGCAACAATGTGAAATGGAGTCTTTTTTTTATGAAGGTTCCCTATTAAATCTGAAGACAACTCCACAGAACTAAGGTTTCTTAAAAACGCATCATATCGGCTGATGATGTGGTCTCTGACGCATTTCAATGACATACTAGACAAAATGAGGGGGTTACAGGTACTTCTCAGCGGCTTGAAATTTACAAACTTGACTCCTCTCAACAATGACTCAAGAAAGGTTCAGTAATATGGCAGTTCTAAACAGCCACAAAGAGAGAACAGCCAAATTTGCCCTCCATCTGCACCCCACTTCAAAAGAGATGGTCACCGGCCCCCGCCTTTTGAAAACTGCTCCGCGGGCCCTGTAAATAGGTCTTTTCTCCAATCACCACCATTAACTTATTGTTTTTACAGCAGCATTACCTCTAACCATTCCATCCACTCACCACTACTGACACACATTATGGGATCCATGGTCTGGCACTAGAATGGGTAAAAAGTTATTTCTCTGAGAGGAAACAATTTGTCGAATTTAACAATGTTAAGTCTTCCCCACAGAGGATTTCCTGTGGGGTGCCTCAAGGCTCTATTCTTGGTCCTTTATTTTTTATCCTGTACGTTAATGATTTGAACAACGCTTCCATACTTGATGCAATTTTGTTTGCTGATGATACAAACCTATTTATCTCTCGCAATGATCCTGTTTACCTAATTAATACATTAAATAGAGAATTAAACAAATTGTCAACCTGGTTTGCTGCAAACAGGCTTTCCTTGAATTTATCCAAGACTAATTTTATGGTATTTAAGCCTTGGAAAAAAAGGCAATCGTTTGAATTTCAAGTTTCAATAAATGAGGAGCCTATCCTTCGTGTTTCTGAAACCATGTTCTTGGGTGTCTATTTAGATGATAATCTGACCTGGAAACCTCACATATCTCTATTAGCCAGTAAATTATCAAAATCCATAGGAATCATTCATAAATCTAGGTTTTTTCTCTCAACTCAATCTCTCCGTACCTTGTACAATTCAATGATTCTTCCACACTTATACTATTGCAATCTTCTAAGCTTGGGGTGGCACCTATAAAGCGAACCTTCAAAGAATTGTAATCTTACAGAAATGTGCGCTAAGAACAGTGAACAACTCTACCAATGATGCCAACACTAGTCCCATCTTTAAGGAGCTTAAACTTTTAAAATTCCATGATATCCATTCGTTTCAATTAGGTTTTTTTTATGTTTTCACTCAAGAACTCTACACTCCCTTCCAAATTCAATAACCTCTTTCTAATAAACAGTCAAATCCATAATTATAATACTAGGAATGCCCTCTTATTTCGCTTGCCACTGTGTAGAACGAACACCAGACAGTTCTCAATTTACTTCCAAGGTCCAAAGTTTTATTTCGCTAAATTCTACTATAACTGGTTCGTCCTCCTCTGCTTCTTTTAAAAGAAAGCTTAAAGAATTCCTTCTCAGTACGTATTAGCTTCAGTATGGCACTAAGTTGATTATTAGTCTAATTAATTTAATATGTGAGTAGGTGTGTGTGTGTGTGTGTGTGTGTATGTGTGTGTGTGAGTTCGCGGTCAAAGTTAGCCATCATAAGCCCATAATTATTGTAATTATATTATCAAGACTAGTTTATCCTAAGTTGAGGAGACCTGACTCATTATAAGCCTCGTGGTTTCTTTCAGGTCTCCTCGCCATTTACTTTTTCTTTAATCTCATTAAATTCCAACCTTAAATTGTAAAATTTTGTATATATAGCAAATAAAGAATGAAATGAAATAATTATTACACATAATTTTAAAGATGGCATGGGTTAGCTTTTATTAAGCAAATGCAACTGCATATATCGTACAGTTATCCGCTACCACACCCGTTTCCTTTTGACTATTACACATGTAGGAGGGTCGAATGAGGTTAACATGAGACCTGTGCAACATTGGCTACCTTTTGTTAAAACAGCAACCCCATTTACATCCCAGAAGATCCTTTTTAAAGCCAGAACACTGGGTTCAAATTTACTCCGACCAAAAGGAGATTAAGTAAATATCTCACCTTCCAATATTAGAGCCAGTGTTGAACCCACCCTCCCCAGTTAGGGGGTGTTTACATGGGAAAACTCGCACCGGCACGAGTTTCATACCGGGATGACTTTTTGATTTTATATCGCGTTTACATGATGACTGGGTCATTTCACATCTCATTATTTAAAGGTACACTTCATGTGATTCAAAATCGCAAACATTACACATGCACTACCCGTTGCAGTCTACCGGCAGACCGATTTCACACCGAAACGGGTCCTAGTCATTTCGCATTTACACAATACTGTTGCGAGATTTCATACCGGAGTGAAATTCTCGCCCCGGTACAAGAACCGGGGTGAATTCACACTGGGGTGACTCGCGCCGGCATGACATTTGTGGTGGTGTCATGTAAACAAATATAGAGCCATGAGAGGGAACCGGAGTGAACTCGCTCCGAGGAGAAAGTCGCCCCGGTGTCATGCAAACACCCCCTTACACAAGTTACTCCATTTCTCCCCTGCCTTCCCATCCCTGACATTTTATGGGCCTCCCCCGAGCTTCGTGAGATTCTGGGATACACAGATTTCTAGTTTTAAATACTTGCAGTGTGACTGTGGGGGTGTGTGTGCGGCTGGGGGGGTGGGGGGAGGGTGTGGGAGGAAACTTCACTGTCTCTGTCACTTGCTTCTAAAATCTACCATAATTTAACTCTGACATACCGCCACTCAAGTGATGACTTCTTCACACTAAATGGTGCCAATGGTGTCATTAAATATCTTGCTGTTTGCAGCGGTCCAGCCGGGGTAGTAAACAAAGATGACTTCACATCTTGGATTCCTCTGTGTTACAGGTTCTACTAGTAAGGGCTTAATTAACTGCTACAGCTATCTCAACGTCACGTAATCCTTAGCCTACTTTTTCCACCAGGCAAACAACCCGGGTTTTCTTGCTTGGTTGAGTATCCTGTGCTGAATCTTCTTCTTCCCCTTTTCTCTTCCTTTTGTTAAAAAATTTCAACATGTCCTGTAAAAAGTTTTCAAAGCAAAGCAAATGCATCACCAATATTATAACACATGCACAATAATAGTCGAGTGAGCAGCAATAAAAAATCGCCACAAATCTCACCCTTTAAAGAAACTACGCCGAAAGATATGTCTCGTTTGTTAACAAGAGTACAGAACTGAAGCAATTTGCACAAATTAGGCTTAGATTATCTTACCGTGAAGATTTTTGAAAAGCCCACTATTTTGACCGCATTTTAAGACCGCATTTATTCATCAAGTCGAGGTCTCAGTTAGCTGGTTCCCAGGATTTTGCTTACGAAGATGACAAGGATCGGGCGGCACCATTTCTATCATCCAAGGCGACACTCATGTGATATCCTTTATCCTTTCGATATTTGAAGACAATTATTCAATGAGAAAGAAGAAGTTATAGGTAAGATTCGTTTCGAGCTATTTTTATGAAGAAACATTTGAATTAGAGAGCTTTAGAAGGAATTTAAGCCCACCACGTCGGAAAGTACCCGCGGTCGGGCGCTTAAAGAGAAAGCGGAAGTCGTCTACGGAAACTGAATACTCAAGAAACGGCTGAAATATTAGCTCAAAAACTGCCTTTAAGGATTCCTGTGGACTCAAATGTTTTCTATTCTATAATCTTAATTTTTACTGCGTTTTATTTCCGTGTTAAGTTAAATGTCATCAGTGTGAAGTTGTGTCAGCTTTCAATATTTTTGGTTTCTTCGTCAATATTAGACAGGTGATCTTTGTTTTCATCGATTCAGCTGCAGGTGTGGAATTATTTATTTATTCAGATTTATTCATTAAGTTTTTTTTCCTCAGGTGAGAAATCTTGTTTTTAATGGAAACGCAGAACACAGAAATAAGATTAGAAAATGATAATGGCGTGATCGCTTCAGTCACGCAAGTACCAGGAAGTAGGTCTGATGATCAAGGGAGAGGTTCGGCTTGTGAGAAAACAGCAAGGGCTATGTCTGCTAAAAAAGAAGATAAAGAAGAAAAACTACTGGAATGCAGTCCAACGAATAAAAAGAAAAAGAAAAAATCGCGAAAAAAACAGAAGTCCGCTGGAAGTGGCGGTAACGCAACTTCTGTAGCGCCCGATGAAGAAGCAAATCCGAATGATCCTAGTTTATCAAGCATAGGTAAGCTGACTTCAGAGAAAGGCGGTGAAAACAATGAAGAAACCTTGGAGAGCAAATCTCCAAGCAAAAAGAAGAAAAAGAAGAAACGAAAGAAAACTCAAAGTATGAGCAGTGCTAGTCCTGAGCCACCGTGCAGTGGTGATGATGACTACGGCTTGACAGGATGTGCCGAGCTCCAGACTGATGACAAACATGTTAGTGAAGCAGAAATGTCAACTCATACTGTTGCTGATGTGACTTCCCAACCTGAGGTTAAAAAAGGGAGAGATAAGGGAAATTCTGATCTATCAAACAAATCACATGACACCGACGAAGTGCCATCCGCTGAGAAAGAGGGTAGCGATGTCATGGACTCTGCAAAAGAAACTTACAAAGAATCTAAAAACGGTTCTAATCCTAGCCTGGCTGAAAACACCAAGACTAGAAAGGAAGACCTTTGCATGTCTGGGGAGCATGAAAACGAAAGTGTTGAAGTTGCTTCTTTTGACAGAAACCCAGACACACCCGTAGCAGTGGCTTTCACTACACAACCCAAAGTGGAAGATCTGGAATCTGATGCTGAAGATAAATCATCTTCTACACTTGGCTGTGAAGGGTAAATAATTCTCCATTATCCAAATCATTTTCCTTCGCTATAAACCGCTAGCTATAGGCGTTTCCTCCTCAGTCCACCTGATTATACTGATTAACAACTTAAGGTCAACAATGTAAAGAGAACTCAAGGAGTCATAACTGAAATCGTGTTCAGTTTAGGAAATGGGTGACTATTAAATAATTATGGAGAATGTAGCAAGGCTAGATACTCCCAACCCCTCTCTCTTAAAAATTCAAAATACGATTCATGTGGAGGAAGCAAATCTACAAAGTCTCAGGACTCATGATCTCATTAAAGAAAGTGGTACAAAGGGGAATGCAATAAATAGGTTTTCATTCCTCACACTGGAATTAGTATGGCTCATGGTTGAAGAAAAGATGGGTAAGGGGGCAAGAAATCTTTTCTTCTTGTAAGTTTTTGAGTTTAATTTAAGGCATTTAAATATATTTGCCGCAAAGGCCGAAAGGTTACCTTGCGCTTGTTTTCTACTTCTAGAAGAAACATACTTTGCATTTTCAAGCTGATTTATGGAGTGGGCCTTCAAGCACTCAGAAAGCTTTTCCTGGAAATGAATCCATCATGGACAAATCAACCTTTAGATGCAGCTGCCTTTGACAGAGGCAAGATGAAGCTTAACAAAGAAGAACAAAATGTTTTCAACAGTGGCAACGTTGACAAATGGGACTTCTCGTTAATCACAACTGCACTTCTCTTCTCAAAGACTTGTGCATTAGAAATGAGCAAGAAACCTGGCTATGATTTTGCCTTGCAAGAGTTAAAGAAGATTCGAAACAAATTGCTGGGACATCCTTCTACAGATGGGATGATTGATGATGATTTTAACACTTTCTGGCCTCAGCTCTCAGCCCATTTTGTTACACTTGGCGCTGATCCAGCTGAGATTGCAGATATAAAACTTCAGTCAGGTACATTACATCTAGGGTGCAAATAAGAACGGTCGTTGAGGCATCTAATATAAATAGCATTTCGTGCTGTGCTATCTGTTATGTTGAGGCTTGGTTAAGGCATAGGGTTAAGCGGTCATTTTATACCATTGGCATACAGTATGCGTAAGGTCCATGCAATAAGTAGTCTTTAAACGGAAGACACTGTAGGGATTTGAATTTCTTCTTTATTCACATCTTTTTACCTTTTTTTTGGTGGCACAATTATCTTCTTCATCTTGGGTCAGATTAATATTTAGCTGTAACAAAGTTTCTTTTTATGATTGCAGTTATAAAATGTTATTCTTTATCCTAATTTCAGATGCCGATCTTCGTGCAGGGGGATACTATAAGTCCCTATTTCTGGAGGAAAAGACCAAGTTTTTTTATCTTGACAAGAGGTTAGATTCCATTGAGAGGAAAGTGGATGCCGTCTACGACGCATTAAGCAGTTGTAAAACGCCAGTAAGTCCGAAAGAGCTCAGTGGCCCTGACTGGGATGCATGGTCGAGGTTTTGTGATGCAGTGGGAGACTTTGATACCCGGAAGAACCAGTATATTCTTGTTACCGACTCTCTCTCTCAGGAAAATCTGGTCTGTTTTTCTGTTTTGAGAAGCGTTCCATGGAAAATGGTTTTGGACTTTGATCCAATGTTC